CAGAGAGAAGGTGGAAATGATGCAGTATTCATGATATATGAAATCCTCAACAAAAAAAGAAAAGAAAAAAAAGAAAAGGAAGTAAAGGATCAGGGACCTTTTTCTTGATGAACTTAATGTCATTGCAGTTTAAAAAGAAGAAAATTTGATTTTAGTAAAATTTTGTATACAAATTTTAAGAATAAAAGCTATACTGATTTTTGAAAACTCTTCAACACCACTGAACATAACCCTAGCAGATGCTTCACAAGTTTTTGCTTTATGTTCCTCAAGTGTGCAGTGTGATTAATCTTATTTTGTGAGGGTAAATATGCTTCTTCTCTTTCTATTACTTTCAATTAAACTCAATGTCTGCATCGAATTGGGAGTAGGTCATCTGACAACTTAAATTTGAGGTAGAGTTTGACACAGTATACCTATAGTGCGTATGACCTGAGGAATTTAAAATAGCTCTGAATATTTAGCAAATGTATCTTCAGTCAGCTAATTACCTTATATGTGGCCAAGAAGGCAGAAGTTTATCTAAAACTGATTTGGGAGAAATAAAGTAGGAAACTCGGGCTCCAATGGAATCATACCACAGTCTGTTGGCCCAGGCAGCTGCTTTAAGCCTTGAGAGAGAAACTTCGCCCCCTCCTAAGCCCCAAGGAGGGAAGTAAGGATGCTCCTACCCTGTCTTCCTTTTTGTTGTTTTTTGTTTTGCTTTGTTTTTGTTTTTAGAGACAGGGTTTCTCTGTAGCTTTGGTGCCCAGCCTGGAACTAACTCTTGTAGACCAGACTGACCTCAACTCAAACTCACAGAAATCTGCCTGCCTCTGCCTCCCGAGTGCTGGGATTAAATCATGCGCCACCACCACCTGACCTCCTCCTGTCTTCCTTTTGTGACACACTCTCTAGCATAAGCTGTACATTCCTCTTCCATCCCTGAACACAAACACAGCAAAAAACAACTGAAAGTCATTTCCAAGAGAAATATGATATCTCAATTTATGAAGATCGTCATGAAGTCAACGAGACTTCATCAGCAGTCACCTGCCACCAAGCTTTACTACCTAAGTCCAATCCCTTGGAGGGCGCATATACGGAAAAAGAGAGGAAACTCCCCAGAGTTGTCCTCTGACTTCCACATGAATGTGGGCACATGCATGTGCACGCATGCACACATGCACACACACAACACACACACAGAGGACAGCACTAAATAAAATGCTGTATAAATGACTACTTCATTTTCGAAAATCAACATGCAATGTACCCCGCTCACAGATCAAGAGTTGGCCTCACAGAGGCCTTCCTAATCTCTCACTGCAGAGCAAGCTCCATTTACCTGAAGGTTTAGTGGACACAAATATCTGAGTGCTATTTATTTACAATGTTGAAGGGCATGAAATTAAATGCTGGTGTATTCGTATGAATACCAAGGCTGCATACATTTCTGTTTCTCCAGAAAGACGAAACCCGGATCTTCAGCTGCTGACTCTCCCAGAGGCTGCAGCCCTGTTGCTGGCTTCCTTGCAGAAACCACAAGAAGGTACAGATGTGGTGACCTCTTTCAGTTCTGGACTAAGAACTACCGAGCCTCTGCCTAGACCTGCAGAAATGCATTTCTATCAAGCCAATGTGCTTCCCGGTAAAATTAGTCCCAAGAATACAAAAATGTGACCTTGACCTGAGTGGGGGGTACTATAAGAATTTCATGACCCCTTACGTGTTATTAGTGACATTTATTTGTTGGTTTGCTTTCAAATACAGTGTCTTGTGTACCCAGGCTGGTCTCAGATTCCCTGTGTAGCAAAAGCTGTCCTTGAACCTCCTCTTATCCTCCTGCCTCCACCCAATAGTTAAAACTGAAGGAGCTCTAATCAGCTTTATTGTTTTATAACTAAAGCCTAAAAATATGAAATAATCAAAATCCAATTGCTCACTATGCAAAATTAAACCAAATTAAAGTACTGATCACCAATCCCTTTTCACTTTTGCATACAACAGTAGATATGGCTCACCCCAACAGACAGGGCCAGCTTTGACTGTAGGCCTGTGTCATCGGCACCTCCCTGTCTAGCTTCTTCTAAGCCAGGAGTGGGTGTCATCTTCAACCACTCTGTCCAGGTGGTGAAGAAGTACTGGCAGAACCGGGTTGGTAATAATGGATCAGCTAGGTCTTTGGAAGTTCACAGACCTGGGCGTACACACTTGTTCTGTCAACTTCAATGAGCTGTGTGACCCTGACATAGGGATGGTTCATTGTAATGAGGTGTATAGTGAGTTGTGTATATGTAGTATGCATATGTATGTGTACAGAAGTGTGTACATATATGTGAGGACTAGATCTTGTCATTGGATGTCTTGTCAATCACCCTCCACTTTAGTCTTTAAGATGGTCTTTCATTGAGCCTGGAACTCACTGATTCAGTTCTCTGTGGCAGGTCAGTGGGCTTCCAGAGATCTGCCTGTCTCCACACACCACCACTGGGGTAACTGGTATGTGTTATCATGTCTGGCTTTTTCTGTGAGTGCTGAGAATCCAAACTCAGGTCCTTATGACCACTTTATTGACTGAGCCCATCTCTCCATTCCCAATCCTATTATTAAGAGTAGACATCATTGCCAGGTGATCGTGGTGCATACCTTTAATCCCAGTACTCGGGAGGCAGAAGCAGGTGGATCTCTGTGAGTTTGAGGTCAGCCTGGTCTACAGAGTGAGTTCCAGGACTGGCTCTGAAGCTACTGGAAAACTCTTTTGTTTTTTAAAAAAGTAGACATCATCACTGGGCATGGGAAAAGTGAGAAGAGGCTGGATAATATACAGAGGATGCTCTGTCCAGATGACTGACTTTAACTTCAAGGTGCAAAACAATAACCAAATCTTGAGGTTTTTAGGGAAAGAACTTTGATGGCAACGGACAGATAATAGGAGTGAGTGTTGGGAAGATGGACAGAGCCAGCCACCAGGCTACAACAGAGAAAGGAGAGTTCATTTTAAGGGAGAGGAGGAATGCCATTCCAGGTCCCCATTTCAAGTGTTTTAGGGAATCACATAAATGTGTTTATTATTGAAATGGTTTTTTTTTCACATATTTACTTAGATGTGGGGCACATTCTGACCACATAGTGTACACGATGGTCAGAGGGTAACTTTGGAATCAGTTCTCTCTTCTACCATGTTGGTTCCAGGAACTGAAATCAGGTTGTCAGGTTTGACAAGCGCCCTTATGAGCTATGCCATCTCACAAGCCCTAATGGGTTGGCATGCTCTGAGTAGCTTGTCTCTAGAGATTAACTAAAGAAGCAAAGCTTTATTAATCTAAAGAAATGGAGGAGTTTTGGATTCCCATATGAAGTGTCAATCACTAATCTGTAATATTATTATTGCAGAGTCTCTATGTATCATCTGGAAGACTCTTACATCATAAACTTAAATTCCAGTGGAGTTTGCACTGGGATGTTTTCCTGATCCACCCCATCCCTTCGGTGTGTGTGCATCTGTGTATCTGTGTGTCCATTCATGCATATGTGTGCCCATGTGTCCACACTTTCCTTCCCTCTAGAGAGAAGCACATTATTTACAATCTATCTTTCAAAGGGTATAAGCAATTGAGGTAGACTAGGATTCGAATTATATTGTGACTGAGGGGATTTGTTTTATCTAGAAGGCAGTCTTGGGGAAAGTAAAATCTAGGGCATGCATTCTGCCTCAGTCACTTTTTTCTACCCTACTTCAGGGTCCATCCCTTCTACTTTATATTCAGTGTACCACGATCTTGCTACTCTCTAATCTTTATGAGACACTCTAGGCCTGATACTTTTGCATTCCCATCCAGCTAACAAGTGCCTTTATCTTTGATCTCATTGCTTACCCAGAAGAAATCACCTGATGGATGAATATTTTCAAGTGTGCCCCCATATCATCCTTTCCCTGCAAGGGACATGTCACCCAGGAAACATAGGTCACACCACTTTGATGCAAATGAATGGCTATAAAGGCAGGTAGGCAGGTGTTTAGACTGGAGGCATGCTAATCAGGGCAAGACACACAAACCGCTTACACTTCTGCTAAATTTGCCCTATCACACTTTTATTTGTTGTAGAAATTTGGATCTTGGGGGCTGGGATGTAGCTCCGTTGGTAGAGTGTTTGCCCATCATGCACGAGACCCTGGGATTCAATCCCCAGTATTGCACAAAAAGGCATATGGTATGTGTCTGTGGTCTCAGTACCTGAGAAGTGGAGCAGGAGGATCAGAAGTCCAAGTACATCCCCAGATGTATAGATATTGAGTATAAACTGTGTTCTGATGTGAAATGTAAAATTTTAAAGCCAAACAAATCAAAAGCCAGTTTGTAATAGAATTGTTAATAGCATAGACCACTGAATTGATTTAACTTTAGAAGTCAACTATCTTTTTCTTGAACTTCTGTTCCTCTCTCTAAAACTAAGAATGTGAGAGTTCACCTTAAGTTTGTTTTTCTTTCTAACAGACGAAGGAGGGAATTTTGATCAAAGCAGATTCCTGGAAGACAGACTGCTGAAGACAGACTGGTGAAGACGCACCAGAGCACACTCGAGTGTGGTTCTACTCATGGTGAAAACCATTGCCACACGTTTAGGGCCCGTGCACCCTTCCTTCCACACCTGTAACCCTAGACACCAGTACCTCTAGGATTAGTCCTTCAGAAGTAAGACACATGAGATTCTGGGCTGGAACATTGTCAAGTTCTACTGCCTTGGGTTGACATCACCTGTCTTACGTAGGCTTGGGTTTTGTATGGCCTTTAGAATGCCGGGGTGGAGAATGCAGACATGTTCTTTCTTTCCCCTGTAGTTAGGCCCTGCTAGATCTGAGCAGCTTGTTTCTCATCCCATCACCTTTTCGGGTGTCACTCGGCAACAGTTCTCCCAACCCCCTTTCCCCATCCCCAGTAAGAGAGAAAGTATGGTAGGATTTGTGTGGCTTTTTATAACTCATTGAGGAGAAGTCAGTAAAAGAGGGAAGTGAAGAGAAGATGCCTGGGATAATGCTCCCATAAAAGCATGTATTATCTATGACTGCTGAGACAGAGGACCCTCCATGATGTGGAAACCCTTGGAAGGTCTGTGAAGACCCAGGGCTGAGAGTCTCTTTGTGTTCCATGGGGATCCACTTAGAAACTTGGACCTTAAAGTCACTGGCACATAAGCAGATGGTGATGGAGTTAGCGAGAGCATATGCCCCACAAAGGTACAAAATAGTTTGAGGTGTCCTGCTTTCTGTGACTGAAAGAGACGTCATCATGTCTTTGCATTAAGGTACTCCCGTGACACAGTGTACTCCATATGCGTGATTTATCTGTTTCCGAATCCAAACACACACACACACACACACACACACACACACACAGACACACACAGTGGGAGGCTTGGGGGTGAGATTCCCCACAGCAAGCAAAATAACTAACTTGGAATTACAGCATGATCACCATGGTATTTTTTAACCAAAGCAGTTTAGAGTCATTAACCATAAGTGCCCAAGTGACAAGTATCGATTCTTATTGTCCCCAGCTTACAACTGTTGCTTTGTAGCTATAGAATATTTTTATGTGAATATCTCTGTAATCTGAAATTTTAACTCAACTGTGTTAAGTAATCAAAACCATGTATATATGTTTTGTCTGCTTCTCAGTTCATAATTAAATAATAAAACTTTATTCAAGTTAGTGTACCATTGATTTTTGCCAAAAATGTCCAAGTATTAAAAACAGTGTGGCCTTATCATAGGCACCTGTCACTAGTCATGACTTGACTTAAAAGTGGATTTACTAGAGTGTCCCATATCAAACTTACTAAGTTACTGAAGGGATACACCTGGTGTGGATTGCTCATTTAGTTTCTTTGTTCTAAGGATGCTGCTAACATCTAGCTCAGGAAGTGGGTCTTCTCACAGCTGGCCAGTACAATCTCAAGTGTTTGTTTCAGAGAAAGTGGAAGGCAAGAGAGCACGTGGGAGAGGCAGAACAGGAGGAGAGGTCACATTTCATAATAGCACATTCCAGTGGAATGGCCCAGTTCCTGAGCCTGCAAAGAACTGCATTAATCACTTTTAATGACCTCATTGCTTCTTAAAATTTTGTTCACAGTGGGAATTTGACACAGGCTTTGTGCATGCTCAATGTTTGTGACTGAGCTTCACACCCAAGGATTTTAATCTCATCTTAAAAAGCCCCACCCTCCAACATGACCACAATAGCAAGCAAATCCCAACATGAACAGTTGGAAGAATTTCTTTCCAGCAAAAACAGCATGTGTTTTCAATTCTCTTTATTTCCACCTTTGTGCAAACTGAAATGAGTAAGGTCACAGACAAAAATTGTTTATGTGTGAGACTTGTGTTGGAAATTGTTGACCTCAGTACATGTTCATGTACTGGACCGTTTCCTCTGCAGGATTTCCAGCCACTTTCTGCACAATGCAAGATGGCCTTCCTCTCATTGCATCCCTCCTACCTTTAGCCTTGCCTCTTGGTTTTTCTCTCTGCATTTCTGGTAGATGTTTCCCCAAACCCCAACACCATTGTAATTCTGCAAGAGGGCAAAAGGACTCTGCTTATTTGGATCAATGTCCAGTCCACACCCCTTCTGTAAGAAACTCTACCTTCCTTGGATCAGTATCTGGTTCACACCCACTCTGAAAGGGACTCTACCTTGCTTAGATCAGTATCCAGTTCACATGCACTCTGAAAGTGACTCTACCTTGCTTGAATCAGTATCTGGTTCACACCCATTCTGTAAGGGACTCTACCTTGCTTGGATCAGTATCCGGTTTACACCCACTTCTGTAAGGGGCTCTGCCTTGGTCAGATCAGTATCCGGTTCACATTCCCTCTGTACTTGGTGAAAATCATGTGGGTGTGTATTAGCAACCTTGAGTGTCATTGTTTTACTTTGGCAATGCAATTCCATTCAGTTCAATCTTTAAGTGACTAATTCTTTTAGGAAGAGCTCATTTCCCCATTCATTTGATTCTTAAAAACACTGCAAGAAGATACAGTCATGTCACCATGCTTACTTCATAGACTGTTGAGCTTCTCCTATGAGGTCTCTTTGGACTTCCTCAAGAAGAGTCCTCCCTGTGCCTTGAAAAAACATCAACATAGCATTTCTAAGACCTACAAATCATAACAGCATGTGTAAAACCAGCTCGGTTCACCTTGACGTAGCCATGGAAGGAGGGTGGTGGTTTCAGTTAGCTGGGACCACTGAAGCAAAGTACCCCACAATGATAGTTTAAAAAAAAAAACAGATTTACCTCTTCGAGTTTTGGAAGGATTGGCAGAATGGATATCTGGTGAGGGCTGCCTCCCCATACATGACTCCTTACTGTGGCTACACTTCCACATGATAGAAAGGCAAGGCAACTCTCTGGGCCCTCTCTTCCTTCTCCCCTCCCTCCCTCC